ATATAGCTTTGTGTGGTTCAGTAAATATTTTATATGAAAATATCAGTTTAGAAAATCAATACCAAAAACGTGGACAGCATCCTTAATCTAAAACATTTTGAAAAGATAACTACCATCTACCAGTAATTATGTTTAAATTGAATTAAAAATATCGTAAAATTTTGAGACCGGTAAGTCCTTTTCTCTCTTTCCTGATGCCTAAACTAGAGTGATTTCTAAACAAGAGATCAGATGGTTTAAAGTACTGCCGCGTATATGACACTGAAATCCTGGTTTTTGATCGCATCAGTAGCCTGCTGCAAGACGAAAATACAGCAGTATGATCCACTGCTAGTTGAACTCGCTACTCTATTCCCAAGATGTGCGTTTATCAGTTCCAATTCTATTGGATCTAAAAATGTATGATAGTACATCATTTAAATGGCGAAATCAAGGTTCTGTAGAGAGTACTTTATTTTCAATTGCAATGTATTCCCTCTATTTTGGCTGGTGAATTTAAACCACAGTAAAAATACTTTTTCTCCATATGGCTGACATAGACTTTATTTAAAAAATCAGTAAAAATAAACTAGCTAAAATAAACTCATCCTGAACTCTATAAACAACAAATCAAGCGTGGACATAATGTTAGGTAAAACAGCCTTTGTGCAAACTCCCATTGAAGTGATTTTGCTACACCAACAGGTGGCATTGTTTATAAATAATACCCTGTACAGGTTATTAACAAAGAGGACATTTTTTTTTTTTTGTACTATCTCAGTCGACTTCGAGATGATGAACATGAAATTTTATCCAAAGAGATCTGCAGTAAAACAAGTAACTTAGTGTGTGTATACGAGAGGGATATGTTGGATGATAACAATGAGCTTTCCCAGGCTGCTTTGCAGTCATTAGGATTCTGTGTACACCATCAAGACATCTCAAAGTAAGTCTAAATGTACAATTACATCATCTGAAAGTCGATTGGATGCAGTTGTTACCTTTATGGTCAATGGCATATGTATTAATATACTATAGCAGTTATGCCGATTGTACGCTTCATGAGACGCGTTTTCTTTTGACATCTTTAGTTCACCACACCCAATAAAAATGCAGTACTTTTAGATATTGAATTATTTGCTGAAGAATGTGCTTCTCTTGTTATGAAGACAGTATTTTAACAGTAAGCATTTTTATTTCCTATTCCAGATCAATCTCTCAAAAAGACTCGTTGACCCTCGTGAAAGGTGAGTTTCTAATTACCCAAGTTAACTGGCTTAGGAATTAGCAGAGATAATTGGCTTAGGAATTAGCCAAGTTGGCATAGGAATTAGCAATGTTAGCTGGCATAGGAATTAGCAATGTTAGCTGGCTTAGGAATTAGCTGAGTTAGTCGGCATAGGAATTAGTAGAAGTGAGTTTCTAATTACACAAGTTAACTGGCTTAGGAATTAGCCAAGTTGGCATAGGAATTAGCAATGTTAGCTGGCATAGGAATTAGCAATGTTAGCTGGCATAGCAATTAGCGATGTTCGCTGGCATAGGAATTGGCCGAGTTAGCTGGCTTTGAATTAGCCTAGTTAGCCGGCATAGGAATTAGCCTAGTTAGCCGGCATAGGAATTAGCCTAGTTAGCCGGCTTAGGAATTAGCCTAGTTAGCCGGCTTAGGAATTAGCCTAGTTAGCTGGCTTACGAATTAGCTGAGTTAGCTGGCTTACGAATTAGCTGAGTTAGCTGGCTTAGGAATTAGCTGAGTTAGCTGGCTTAGGAGTTAGCTGGCTTAGGAGTTAGCTGGCTTAGGAATTAGTAGAGGCGAGTTTCTAATTACCCAAGTTAACTGGCTTAGGAATTAGATGAGATAATTGGCTTAGAAATTAGCCAAGTTGGCATAGGAATTAGCAATGTTAGCTGGCATAGGAATTAGCGATGTTAGCTGGCATAGGAATTAGCGATGTTAGCTGGCATAGGAATTAGCGATGTTCGCTGGCATAGGAATTAGCCGAGTTAGCTGGCTTGGGAATTAGCCGAGTTAGCTGGCTTGGGAATTAGCCGAGTTAGCCGGCATAGGAATTAGCCGAGTTAGCCGGCATAGGAATTAGCAGAGTTAGCCGGCATACAAATTAATGAAATGAATTCTTATTACTCAGATTCAGAGACATGGATTAAATTGTCATTTTTTTCTTCGCAAGCTGCTTCTAGCAGCACCTTCCAGTTGATCACTGAAGTTATACAAGGAAATGCAAGGACTATGTAATGTGAATACTGAATTGAATACTGCCATAGTTGTTTGTGCGTGACACTGATTTTATCTTTTGCAGCTCTCTGTAACACATTATTGAAGACAACAGATAAGAGTACATGTACCCGGGCATTGTGGTGTATTGCTAAGCAGAACTTTCCACATGATAGCATCAACAATGAGGTATGATTTTAGCGTTAATACAGCACTACAAAATTCAGTAAATTTGTCAGCATGTTGCTTTTAATACCCTGCTAATTTCATCATCATTGCACCATATTCCTTATTCACTAATTTGATTTCTATATTGTTACATTGTAGCTTCATGGTATACTTTGTGCAGTAGAACATGCCTTGGTAAAAGGTGGCTATCAATCAATGTCTGTTGAGCATGAAGCTATAAATGCTATCATAACGTAAGTGAAAGACATTTATTAGTTTACTGGTCTCATCCATGTCAAATTTCTTGATTACATCCTCTTCATATACATGTATTGATGCTGGCACAACCGGTGTGTGTAAAGCGGCTTTCAAATTTAGTTATTGTATTTCAAAAAGTCTCACTGGTTCGTGATAGACACAATTCAAATATTCTGAGATCTTGCGTCTTGAAATTATTTCGCCTATATTGGTTCTGGTGAAGCCTAAATCATCAGTAGCCCTAGACACACAGTGACTACGATATCTTGTGCCAGGTCTCCCATTTTCAAAAATCAGCAAATAATTGAAAAAGTTGCAATGATAAACCAAAATAACAAAGCATGGGTTGTCCACAAAGCGAGTTGGTTATTTACATGTATACACAATTGTGTGCATGGCTTCAGGTACCAACTTGAGGGAACTTAAGTATATTTTTACTTCTTTCCTCTTTTTATAGGTTACTGGAACAGCTGCCAAATAGCATGAAACTGCATGCCCTACGATGGGGCAATCTAGTTCTCCCACTACTCTTACACTCTGCACACAAAATTAGAGAACGTGCCCTTCATGCCATGCGCCTGGGTTTTTCTGCATTGATGTCGCGTCAACAAGAGCTTGTCAAGACTTTAGTCTCCGATATCAAGAGTTTATTTAGTCAAGAGATGACAAAGTTGTTTGAAAACCAGCAAGAACTCCATGTATTGACTGTTTGGCAATATTTAATCGATTTACTAGGAAAGGTATAGTTATTTTGGGTTATTTGTACAATATTTACCATTTTGCTTCTTTCAATCTAAGGCACATGCTTAACCTGAGGTTACCACCTAATAAAATTAGTTGGAAGACTGGACTATTGCATTGTACCATTTTAATAGAAGCCGCAGCTTTTAATACAGATTTTACAGTAGTCAAAATGCTGATAGAATGACAAGCATGTGGAAACACTGTAGAGATGAACTGCGAAGATGTGATCTTTATTTTTTTACATTCAACTCTTTTTTGCATGGTACCAAGTTTCCGTTAACTTTACAGACTTCCCAATATACCACGAGACTATCTACTTGAAAACTGGTAACCCAGCAGGAATTCCAACTTGGTGTTAATTTTTTTATGCCATGGGACTTTAAAATCCAAAAAGTATGATGTATTGTAGCTAATGTCATTGCTTTGTTCTTGTTGTATATAGGCTTTACATAAAGGAGGTAGTTTGATTAACAGTTTGCTGACCATTGTAGAGAGAGCATTCAAAAGCTCTATCGTACAAGTAAAGTGTGCTGCATTTCATGCCTGGCAACATCTCATTGATAACTTTGCTCTTGATATGGGTAAGATTCATCAATTCCTGTGAATTCAGTATTCTCGGTAACCCTTTAAAGGTCTCGCATTTCGGTATATTCTGAGGGTATTGTTGCCCTGCAACAGCGATAACTTCTTTTGTTTTTGAATTTCTGTGACAACTACATTTTTTGTGAATAATAAATTTGTCTTGAATTTGATATAGTAGAGAGTACAATGGTGTGCAACTTTTGTGCGACTGTATAGATAACATTTTAACAAAGTCTGCATCCCATAAGATCTTTGTTGTGACTCACTCCATAATGGGAAAGTTGACTGTATTTTGTGATTGCATATAAAAACCTTGTTTCTGTAGAAGTACTATGAAGTCACAAGAGTATTGAGATTTGCTTAATTTTTTTTTATATTTTGGCTCATAAAATATTACTATATTAGTGAAAAAAATTTGAGTTTCTACCATGTGGATATCATAAGTATCCAATATATTCAGCCATGTGTGTTCCAGTATGAAAGGGTGTGAAGCATTGAATTAGAGCTTTTGTTGTGCCAGAATTTGTGAATTGGAGTCCACTTTACAAGTTATTAGACTGGGCCAGCCATAGTTCGTTCTTAAATTGTGGTTCGTCATAAAATTACCACGACTGGTAGTTTCTGAAGCGTATCCATTGCTATAACTTGTTCATGATATGCAGTGATGTTACGGAACCCGGGAGTAGAGCACTTCGAAAAGGAAAAAGTAAATTCAACGTGTCAAAAAGCTGCCTTTCTTATTGGTCGGCCACTTACAAGTGGTGCTACTCATTAGCATATGTATCATCACAGAAACATGACAAATGTGGAGGGGCGTGACAGAATAGACAGTCATGGCATCAACACGGAAGATGCTACAAACTAGTTGTGTATTCGTTAGCATTAAAAATAATAAAATTGCCACGACTTGGCTAGGCTAGGCTAGGCTAGGCTAGTCGAGTCGTGTATATTAAGATGAGCAAGCTTACAGTACTTTGATTGCATATAAAAACGTGTCTTTGTTTTCTGTAGAAGTACTATGCAACCACAAAAGAATGAAGTTACTGCTGCAGCCGTTTAAAGTCACAGTCTCTAAACAGGAGGCAGTTGCTGTTGCCAAGTTGGATGCTTGGTGGCATTTTGCACAGGTTTTTGAAAACAGGCTTGCTATGACTTTTGACCAGGTACGTTTTTTGGTGGTTCATTATTTAGAAGAAATCACTATTAGTTTCATAACAAATATAGAACATTGTCATAAAATAGTTGACATGTCTTTATAACTGAGTGGGCTTTTCAAAATCTTTTTTATAGGACATTAACAATTTATAATAGTTTTCGAGGTGGAAAACAATTTGATTCAATAACTTTGCGCAATGTCGTAATTTTTATCTGCCAATAAGTACTTTACTACATTGTCACTTGAAATTATCAATCATAACTGCTGACATATTGTTGAGGTTATGTAAAGGAAATCACTCTTAAATTTTCCATTATTTTCGTAATGTTTACAGAGAACAAATAATACAGAACATTCTACGAATAGTTCAACACATTTTAGCCACTGAGTAGCCACTAAATTTTTGAATTGTTATAAAACATTTTTGAATAAATTTTGTGGTGGAAAACCATTGACTTCATGACTTGGGGTATGGTCATAATTTTTATCTGACAAAAGCCAATAAGCCAATCATAACTGCTGAAATATTGTCAAGTTGACGGTAATGACATGTCGCTTTTCAACCCTTTCTATAATTTGTCTCAATTTAGTTTTTGCTTTGTTTACATAGATATGTGTTCCATTGCTACAGTTCAGCTTAGGTTTGTCATCTACCAATAACATCCAGTGTCCAAGTACACCAATTGTGCACCAAGGAGCGGCTGGTAGACTGTCTACACCAACCCAACAGCGAAATGGTACGAACCAATATATAATCCTGTTGCATTAATTAATACTAAGGCCACGATAGACAATTTACCATTCGCTAAATTATCTTGTGTATTGTACGAAAGTTGTGGGCCGAACCAAATGTCTTCTGCAAAAGTCAATTTGTATTTTTGTTTTGAATTTCCTACATGCCGAAATGCTGACCTTTGTACAGGGAACGTTACGTTAAGATACCCTTACTTCATCAAAATTGACCAAGCATTGAATGTGTATATAGCATGTGTGAAAATGTGTATGCTAAAAAGCAGGATGTTTTGTCTTCTCATATGCTTGCTTAAAGTTCACCCTTTGAATAAGAATTCACAAAAATTCACGCGTTTCAAATTGCCAACTCCTGTAATTCAAGATGACCAAATTAATCTGAATCAAAAATGTCAACATGTTTGCATATATTAATCAAATATTGCATATAATGGTACCAAGACTTAAATAAAGTTAAAGGAATGATCTTGCTGTACAACCTTAAAACTGATGTTTGCTCTATAATTAATTCCTCTGCTCCATCAAATGACAGATGAGTGTATGGTTAAAATATGGCACATTTAAATTATTCAGTATACAATAAGGTTTAGTTCATGCACGTTTCTACGTCACAAGACGTTCTATGTTCTAAGTCGTGCAACACACTGTACATGCATTTCTATGGGCTCTGTGCGCATTGCTGTGGAACGCCGGTCGAGCCGGTGAAAATTCGAGAAAACAACACAAACTCAACTTTGAAGTAATCCAGATCAAACAAATATATACATGTTACACACGTAGGGCTAATCTTGTTACACTGTTCAGGGGAGTCTCAACAGTCATCCCCAAGTACCGTTTTCTGCCATTGTTTTATAGTGATGGTTGCAGAGCAATGAAAAAGTTTTTTGCCGAATACCTGGATTTAATGATTACTGTTATGTTGTGTGCATAGAATTAATGATTACCCATCCATTTTATTGTAGGAGCTGTTAGCAGTCCAGGTACTCCTTACATGAATCTTGCAGCTACTAATGGATCTATGAGTCCTGTTGTTACTGCCTGCAATTCACTACAGATGAAAGGTTGTGAAATCCTCGCCCATTTACTTAGAAAAACTGATCTGCCGGCAGATGTAGTCAAAATGGATTTTACACTTGGTAAGCCTATGTGCAGCTTTCAACTTTTCACTGGAATTGTGAAAAGAAGATTTCTATCATAATTTAGTTACACAAGACATAACTGATCAGAATTGAGGAAGATGACAAAAATTTGTTGCAGTAAACATTGGGGTCCTCAAAACAGCAGGTCAGTGACTTTGACTGGGGTCCTAAGAAGTCATCGTGACTTTGACTGGGGTCCTAAGAAGTCATCGTGACTTTGACTGGGGTCCTAAGAAGTCATCGTGACTTTGACTTGGGTCCTAAGAAGTCATCGTGACTTTGACTTGGGTCCTAAGAAGTCATCGTGACTTTGACTTGGGTTCCAGTGAGTCACGGTGACTTTGACTTGGGTTCCAGTGAGTCACGGTGACTTTGACTGGGGTTCCAGTGAGTCACGGTGACTTTGACTGGGGTTCCAGTGAGTGACGGTGACTTTGACTGGGGTTCCAGTGAGTCATGGTGACTTTGACTGGGGTTCCAGTGAGTCACGGTGACTTTGACTGGGGTTCCAGTGAGTCACGGTGACTTTGACTGGGGTTCCAGTGAGTCACGGTGACTTTGACTGGGGTTCCAGTGAGTCACGGTGACTTTGACTGGGGTTCCAGTGAGTCACGGTGACTTTGACTGGGGTTCCAGTGAGTCACGGTGACTTTGACTGGGGTTCCAGTGAGTCACGGTGACTTTGACTGGGGTTCCAGTGAGTCACGGTGACTTTGACTGGGGTTCCAGTGAGTCACAGTGACTTTGACTGGGGTTCCAGTGAGTCACGGTGACTTTTACGGGTTTCTAGGACTGTAACAAAATTTTGTTCTCATGAATGCCCTCAAGTTATTAGATAATGAAAAATAAAATTGACAACATTTAAATTTCTAGTAGGTTTGGAGACTAGCCAACTTGTAATTGATTCGCCAATTACTTTCTTTGTTTACCAGGTCCTTTGAAGTATCCCCTGATTAATTCTTCATCAGTGTTCATCAAAGTGAGTGTTGTTCTCATCCATGCTGTCAGAGAAACAATGTGTTCCTATGGGAACCAAATACCAGGTATGTTTAGCATCCTTAAAAAATGTAAAATACTGTAAAGACAAGATTTCATCTGTTATGAAAATGATGAAATTTCCTTTACCAATGTCAAGTATCATACTTGCATCATTTAACCTCTTCACCACCAGACTTTTCCGCCGCAATTTGTTGACACTTTTTTCTTCTATTTTTCAATATTTCTGGAAATGAACCGTAATTTAGGAGCCAACAAACAAAATTTGTTTCAATTTTCCTTGTTTACTCAAATTTTTTTGCTATTTTTGCCTCCATCTTCTGAAGCAAAATGCAGACTATTTTGTGAATTTGTGATGAAAGAGGGATCTGGTGGTGAAAAGGTTAAAGGTCAAATGTAAGGCCCTACAAAAATAATTGTATACGATAATGACTGGTTACTTATTCCAAAGTGACAGATCATATACGATTGTATTTACTGTTTTTATGCAATCCTTTTCCTATACAGAAACCCTTGTAACTTTTATATGGCAGTGCCTGTCTTCACACATGAAGACATTACTTGATATGGGAACCAAGAAAGATACAGTAGAGATTTTCACCCTCTATTTAGCAAGTCTGCAAGCGATCATTAACTCGGAAAGATTCACACCAACATACATACTGGTAATTATTAGTTCGCTTATTGAAGTATTTTGCAACACAAGATACCAGCGAGGGAGAGTAAAAATTATCATTCATTGGTGAAGCTCAACATTTAAATAGTTTGTATTACCATATTTATTGTCAAATCATTGGAGATTTTTGATATATCCAAACATACAAAGGCTCTAAGTAAATGAAGAGCGTAACTAACATTGTTTAAACACTTATTTCCATTTCAAAATTGGTTTATTTTGGGATTTATGCGACTTCAAATAGGAACTTCATCATTTATTGCACCAGTTGGATACCTTTATATTGTTGATGGTTATACTGGTTATAAAATGAATTAAATTTGGATGGTAGTGGCAAATTGTTAAGGATATTTGCTATAAAGTAGTGTAGCATATATGGTAGTGGAATAAACTGAAACTATGGAAGGTTGAGTTTGTGTAAATTGAGTTTTTATTTACTGTATTTTGCTGTCTGTGAAATCGGCAAAAATAAGATTGTCTATCTATTGAAACAGTGCGAAGAGAAAAACCATAGTATGGCACTGCCACTTTTTGGAAAGATACAAATATTGTCACCTTTGGTTTGTAGATAATACTACTTCTTTTATAAACTACTGTAAAAGCGACATACTATTTTAGCGAATTGTGGTATAATTATGTAATAGCGGAATGTTGATTTAGCGAATCTCTAGTCTTTGTTAATTTCCTGTTTTCACAATACTTGTCTGTCATGTGCCAAAACAAATGCGCGCAGTTATCACCTCCATAAAAACAAAGAAAAACTGTCAAGTGTAATTAGGAAGCGCTCCAGATTATTACGTTTTCCGTGTTTATAAAGTGTGTATTTGGTGAAAAAAGTAGTTTGGCCGCCATTTTGAATTTATAATGAAGTCGCTCGCGACATCTTAAATTAGCGAAATCGTTATCTTGCTAAAAAGACATGCTCGCGAAAAAGACATGTTTTACAGTAACTCTACGAATATGTGATAACCTCATAATATTCTAATTTTTATAACAATTATTGCGTTGTTTTGATTTCTAGAAACTGATTGATATTGTCAGCAAGCTGCCACAGAAGGCACTGAGTTCACCCGCATATCACGTCGGGAACGCTGAACTCATGCATGTAAGTATCGGCATCTCTCGTCTCATCTCATAAGTGATTGGTTGATTAAACATTCATGTTGCAATTGGGTCCCATGCGACGTATACGATGTGTAAAATACATTGCTGTTTGTGGCTACCATATAGCCGCAGTGTTCCCTCTAAGCCGTATTTTCGCTCAATTTTCTCAGATTCAATTTAGTTCCTCAGTGAAATTTTGTCTTTGAGAAACTTTCCTTGCATTTTGTATGCAGAAAACATTTCAAAGGGAAAATGGGCAAATTTTCACAGTATTTTCAAGATTCAAAAAAATTAAAGGGAACAGTGCATATAGGATATATTCAGTTGATACTTACTTGCAATGCTTCTCTGCATTTCATTCCAGATTTCAACATATAATTGAGTATCATCTTTGTCATCTTCCTTGAAGATGTAAAACTTTGGAGGTGATTCTAATCTTTCCAGCGTTCATTTTGGACTATTTTGACATAACTGAAGCTTTTGTATTATCTTTTTGCAGTGTATACAAAATTCATTCCAATTTTGGAATATTCTCACTTAAAATATTGGGTTATTTGTTGAATACAATTGTTATAATTATGAGAGTTAGTTCCTTGTAAAGCTAATTTGTATTTGATGTTTTTACAGGGCACACCAGCTCTGTTCTTGATTCAACAGATGTTCCATTATAGTTTCCTTGAGAATATAATTTCTGAGAGGTAAGTCAATCCTCACACTGTTACAATATCAGATATGGAACCCAATATATTCATGTTTAATTCTGTAAGATCCTTAAAAATTTGATATTTTCTAGTATAAATAATCTCAATTTTTTTTCTTTTTTAGCTATTTTTGCATCCTCGAACATTTGGTAGAGCGTGGGATGAGTAACCCGACAGCGGTTTTGGGGTTTGCTCAGTCTGTGCTGGAATTGTTAAATACAGTGACAGTGACCACTGATAACTCTGAGACAATATGGAGAATATGGAGTATTGTGGTTAATCCAATGTTGCAACATGTTGTGGTGGTAAGTCCAGTACTAGATTATTCACGGAATGCTAAATACATTTATTGTGTGATTTTTGCCAATAAATTCAAATTTTTCAAACAAAATGCTTGCTGTTTTTCCAAAGTCTATCCTAATGAGCGTTTTTGATTTGTTTTCAGACTAATGAAGTGAATCAAGGTGATTCGTTGGACCATGACTTTAGTGCCATGTACATTGCACTTGTACTGCCAGTTAAGAAGTTATTTATAAGCAATGTAACTCAGGTAATAATTGTAAAACCATTTAATTTCACTATTTTTATGTTTTGAGCAATTTCACTGGGTTTTAAGTTCAAAAACTTGGCATGGAGCTCTATTGTTATTTACATGTTCACATAGATTTAACTGTTTTTAATGAATTTTACTTATCAGTAAAAATGGTGAATAATTAAATGCATTTACAACATTTCATATATTTCTATTCATAAAGTTTGTTTCTGGTTAACATTTCGCTACACAAAAAATCAATGGTAAACTGCCAACAAAAAATACTGATTTCATCATCTGTTTGACATATCAGTTATGAACTTTAAATGTAGCAAACTTAGAGCCCCTCCCCCTTTTCACAACACAACACAACACCCTATCCCCCTCTACCCTCTCCCTTGCCATCCCTCCCTTTTCTCTCCCTTGACTACTGAAATTATGAACATTTTGTGTGTTTGGCTTGTTAGAAATAACTAGCATTTAAATCATTGCTGAAATGATGTGCTCTGTTTGCAGGGAACCATGAAAACACTATTGAAGACTTGGTCTGATATATACAACACCTTCGCAAGATGTTGTGCATTGGTTGCGACAGCAGATGCTAATGTTTGCTGCCAAGATCTTTGTACAAAAATACTCCAACTTGTAGATATGAAGATACTAAAGGTGTGGATAAATATTGTAATTTAGTTGCTGGGGATTGTGTATGAGTTGGGTGGGGAGGGGGGCGGTGTATATATGCGAGTGATTGCACCCCATGTTTGGTGCCCTAACATTGAAACTAGGTTTCCGAAAAAGATACGACTAGGCTTCAACCAATGATTTAATAATTCTAACCTATACCCTATACAATGTAGATTGTTCAAAAGGAACTCTAGACTTTCACGAAGGATAAAGGCATTGTAGCTGATATACCTCGATAGAATGTTTTCCTTCAGTTACCTAGCAATCTGGGAAAATAATACTCAGTGAAGGCGGCTTATATTTTATGTATATTGTTTTCCATATGGCCAACATGTATTTAGGGGGCAGTGATTTACTAGTCGCACAATGGTAGCAGGGTCGGTCACAAAATTATATGATGGATCATCCAATGTGTATGAATACAAACTTTGCAGTGCTCTATTATCAGCAGTGTTGTAACTTGGATTGGCGCTTTGTTTTCAGGACATGAGGGTGGTTGATGCTTTGGGTCACCTATGTGGAATCATGTTGAGTAGTATCGACTTCTCTTCTTACTCCTACCAGCAGTCAGCTAGCAGTAACAGAGGTAAATCTTGTATCCAGCATTGTTTTCTTTCTCTGACAATTGCTGACGGTATATAAACCAGAAATATGCAGAAACCTTTGCACAGATGTCCATTTTCATTTAAGTAGATATGATGAAAACAGATGGCGGCGACAATTCTGTTATCAATAAATCTGTTTTTAGTATAGTGTATGTTGAACCATGTGATAAATAATAGGCAGTCTATAGATACTTTGTAATCATAGCGTCACCAGTCGGGTTTTCATACAAGAATGGTTGGGCTGACTTGCTGGGTTCCTGGTGTTCCGATGAGCTATTAAATGCTCTTGCTGTGAAATCAATCCCATACGCAGACGAAAATGACGAACATTTTCACACCAGAGTGTGCAAGTTTCTAAGGTAATTGCGAAACTCATTGTTAATTATTTACATTTTTAGCACCATTCAATCCTGGAAACCCAACAAAAAAACGTTACAAGCATCTTGGAAATATAACTGCATTTATACAGTTAGTAAAGAACCTTCTTGCTGCCTTAAATACATACAGTACTTGCCAGGATTCCGTCTCTCAGGTAAGTACATTATGATTTTGATTACACTTGAATTCTGGGAAAGAATTGATCATGCATTCCTGCACATTTGTAGTTTTGTTAAAGGGGGGAAAGGCAAATAACTACTGGGGTCCCGGAACTTTTCCTAAGAAAACTGATTTTGTGATTTCTGCAATTCTGCGCCTATTTAAAATTTGTCAAAAAATATACAATGGAGGTTCATAATGCAAAACTTTTTTTCTCCTGGCTTTCAACAAATTTCTTTTAATGGCGCTAGCATTGTCTCAATACAATACTGGTAGTTTTGGAAAGGGTGTCTAAACTTTGAAGTTGAACACTTTGATGTGACATGTATATATCAAACTGGTAAGGGTCAATTTATTCCTTTCTAAATGAACAGCTTCATCTTCTGGGCAGCAAATTTATTCTGTCACCAAAATGTTATTATCCTCCAGAAACATTACAGTTCTGATATTCAAGCCTGGTCGTCATCTATCAATGGTATGACCAACTTGCTCTCCACCCTGTTTTCTCACATCACCATGGCAACCATGATTCAAAGTATTCTTGAAGAGTTGTCTCAACCAATTGCTGCTCTGTTTGTGGCTTCATCAAAGTAAGTAAAAATCAATCTTTTTTTTTTTTTTTTAAACAATCTCATGATGTGACTGCTCAGATGAATTGAATTTTAACGTGTTCCTAATCAACATCAAGAACGGTGTAAATAATTGTGTAATATGTCAAGGATTTATAAAAAGTAGCTTTCGTAGATTTATATTTATCCCAATAACGTTCTCGTCTTTGGCCAGTGACATCACAGTAAGTGAAATAAACGAGGTTAACCGAGGCCGTAATGCATGTTCTCTGGGAAAATATAGAACGAAAACTATGTTTTGTTCAAACCCCCATTTCTATTAGGAAAATGGTTAATCATGAGATTCAAGCAACTTCAAATGGGATCTTCATCATATACTGTACAAGTTGGATTGTTTATAAACAGACATTTTTACAGTGTCAAATTTTAGAGCAAGGTTTCACTATTTTCATTTTTATATTGTTTTCAGACCACAAACGCTAGGAGGCTTGTTTACACCTGCTATTAATCAAAAACTAGAAAAGCTTTGGGGCGACTTATTAATGTTGATTGAAAGTCGCCACAAAGCTCCATTCTCTACCCACTTTCTGAAAGTGATGTCGCCATTGCTGGAAGTTACTTTAAGTGATTGTAAACGATCTATTAGGAATCGTACAGTACAGTTTTGGAATGCTACTTTTGCCTGTGCGGACACACTGTCTTACAGCGACTCGTTGAAGTAAGTTATGTTGCAGCATTGTTCAGTAATCAGTGTTCTTCCAAGAGACTAAATGATTCTTGGATTTGTTGATACAAAATTGTGGTGGGTAAGTTTATATCGCAAAACTTGGCGTTGAGGTGTTCTTTTCGTCACATAAAACGAACTGACTAAACTTGCGGAATTGTTATTGAAACGGACATCGATTGCGTAGTGTTTTCTCGAGTTGAACAGATGTGAGGTATAATTCAAACTTGTTTATTCGTACTCAGTATGAACATCAATACGTTGTACAGCAAATACTTCTTGATATAAAATATGGGTCGCTAAATAATAGTTTCATGAGGAGTTGACATCGTAGAGAGCATAGAAAGGAGGGTGTGCATAACGAGCATCAAGTTGCGAAGCTACTATAGGAGGAATTACAGCGACGGCCTGAATCGGACTGCTCACGTCAGCGCTTTGCCTGGTTGATGTGATTGTCAACGTTAGAGCGGCATTTGTCTTGGTGACAGCTAATCGGAGAATTGACAAACGCGTGTTCGTATATCATGCCAAAACGCTCCGAAAATAAAACAACGCTAATGATTGGCGCATACAAACAAAACATAACACTGTCATTCCATATTAGGAGTGACACGCGACTAACACGAGGCAGAACTTTGGTGGGTATTTTGGGCGGTAAGCAGACAAGTACCGTGAGAACGCAATGGGAAACAATGTAGCAAATGTTTGGATATAGCGTCGCGGTTGCTACAGAAACCGATCTAGTCTCTCAGGGCTCAACTAGTGGTTATCAAAACAATGTCTGGAATTACAAACTAACTTAGAACAGAGCATAAAGAAAGTAAAATGTTTTCATGTTAGATAACTGCGCGCGACAAAAATGAAATCGTATATCTTATAACAGACGGAATGATGGATGAAATAAAAATATAAATAGAATCATCTGTTGAGTAAATTGTTGGATTTCATGTAACGTAAGGGGCGACGTCAAAAGATCGATGTCGGATAAAAGACTTAATTCCTTTAGTTTTTTCCCAAACTTAATTTATAAATATTGATTATGGCGTCAGACTACATTCACCATTAAATACAAATTGATAATCGGACAGTAGTATGGCATAGGACGCATTTGCATGTGCAAACTACTTTTCTGGGTTCTGCGCATGCTTCTAGGTCCATGCCCTGAAATTGACCTCATTTGACACGCATATTTACACTCGGACCAAGCCATTTTCTCGTCTTGGATGTGTGTTTTTTCATTTTCTGTTATTTTTGTCTATGATTGGATAGAAAAAAAAAAGAACTACAAATACTCAAAGATATTTTTGACTGCATTAAAAAATAAAATTGTTTTTGTAGGATGGAAACTTTTTGAGGTCAAAACCCCCTCACCCCCAAACTTAAAGCAAATGTGTTTTTTATCCGACATCGATCTTTTGACCTCGTCCCAAACTTTTTAAGGCTTTCACAACTTGCAGTCATGGTTGGCCATTGTGTACCTATGTATCATCAATTCTCCTCTATACACACAGGACATGTCTGTTAAAAGTAAAAGAAACCACAGCAATAAGTTTACCAGATATAGATGAAGAGGAAGATAAAGAAGAGATGGAGGAGGAGGCAGAGGAGGAAGTTATACAAATAGTCGAAGAAACCCCCTATAGTCTTGGAACAGATGTAAGTACATGAAGATTTTTGGAATTAAATTGCTTGCATAACAATCACCTAATTTGCATAACAATCACCTAATTTGCATAACTATCACCTAACTTGCATAGCAATCACCTAATTTGCATAGCAATCACCTAATTTGTACAAGTGAATATTAATAATATTCGGAGTCGAAACACATTTCTTTTCAGTATTGTCATCGAAGCTCAAATGATTGCTGTCCTACAATCAAGTTTTTTAGTTCCGCTGTCGACAAGGCCAACGTCGCGAAGCTCTTCAACTTTTTTACATTTTTGTCTTCAAAATTGTTAAACCAAATGCTTTCATATTTGCAACATGGATTCTGTGGGTGGTTCTCTCCCAGATTTATTCATTTCGTGGTGATATCTTTGATTCTCTAATATTGATGAATATTTTGTCATTTTTGGTAAAAATTGATTTTTGAATTCTTGTTGAAAACTGCAAGTCTGATTGCTTTGATATTATATACATATTGTTCATTTTCTAATGATATCTTCAATTCTCTATTTGCAATGTACTTTGCTAACAGAGGTGCTATCTCAGGCGAGAGGCTGCTTGTTTTCACAAAATTTATACTTTTATACACCAAACTCTCACTCTTAACTATTTATGCTTTCCTATTTTAACACAACATTTACATAAGCTCAAATGCTTCTAACAGCAAGTATATGTATGGGGGGTGTGGATGTTTTTTTTTTTTAAAGTGAAGTCAAAATTCAATTGTGAGTCTGAGGGTTAGTGAGACCTGCCTCTGAATGCAAAATGTATACATTGAAATACTGCTCAATGGACTGATTGTTTTGTTGCAAGAAAGGCAACATACCAAGTATCCTGTTGCTAAATGTTTTACTCCATAAGTTGTTAATGCATAATTATATGCAAGTTACGAAGAAATCTTATAGTACATTGCACTGCATGGTTTCAATACATTGATATTCTTGCTTTTTTTTTTTGTAGACTGAACCATCTCAAGTGGTTGTGTCTCGACCACAGCTGCATTCAATACTTCCCACCTTTGGTAGGGGATCTCCGCAGAAGTTGGTCGGAAGTTTTTTGAAGAAGACTGCCTTGTCACCAGATAGGGGTAGCAAACTAAAAAGGTCCCCACTAAGTATTTCTAAAAGATCACCTGGTAGTATGAGTAAAGTGAAAGTTAGTGCCAGCAAAGCCAAAGTGGTTGTTGCTCCATCCGGCGCACATGCCAGGAGGAAATTACCGTTATCGATTGATGAAGACAGCCGGCAGGTGAGGATACCAGTGGTTATAAAATTATGCTCATAAACGTCAATGTGAATCTACTTACTAGATTGTATCTGATTAGCTAACAGTTGGACCAATTAAAAAGCTTGTTTGTCATTTTTTGTTTGCATCTCAAATTCTGCCCTGTATTATGTGCTACAATTCTACTGGAGAAATATTTGTGTTCTGTATTTCTATGCCTTACTAGATTGTATCTGATTGGCTAACAGTTGGACCAATTAAAAAGCTTGTTTGTTTGTTTGTCATTTTTTGTCTGCATCTCAAATTCTGCCTTGTATTATGTGATACAACTCCACTGCAGAAATATTGGTGTGTTCAGTATTTCTAGGCTTTATTAATTAATGTGTACAATGACCATGATAACATGACTTTGTATGTGTATAGATAAATACTGTATATTGTTTATATTGTTTGAAATAGCTGTACAATTAACAATTCATTACATGCAATTTTGTGTGTATATTTTTCATGTCAGTCTGTATCATTCAGTAGTTAGGCCAGACTTATTCCTTGTTTCTCGAGTTTTTATAAGGAAATTTTTTTGAGGAGGGCGGGAAAAACATAAAATTAATTCTTTTTTTTCCATTAGATTTGTGTGATTCTCTAAGAATTGTAAGTGAGATCATTGATCGGAGGGAAGAAATAAAATAAAATTTTATTCCATGTATAACTTTGTTTCTCATCTGCGCGAGACTTCGGTGCTTTGATCATGATACTCCCACGAAAATGCAACTTGGATTTGGTATGTGGCGGGCGATAAAAAAATGAAGACAAAAATAATATTTTTTTAGCAATTTTTTGAGCTTACAAGTCGGCGGGTGCGAGGAATTACGCTGAAATAAAATTTTATTTTTATTTCATTTTCGGCTCCTGTTCATTTGGCGGGTTTGCGAAAGGAGGGATTATAAAAGTCTGGCCTTAGTGCATATGCCTGCAGCGGTGAGACGCTAACATCGTGTACAAGTTCATATCTAGTGTTGCGTGTTATGCAAATATTAGTTTGTCTATAATTATTAAAGTTCAGCAATGTGGGAGCATATTATTGTCTTTTCTTTCGTATTGTGAATAAATCCTCAAAACATTTGATGCAAGCTGATATTGTCAAAATTTGAATCCATTGCTGAGAATGTACGAAATATTTTGTTTTGTCTTGTTTTGACTTGTCAATAATAACAAATTCGTCTTGTTTGGAACAAAAATAAACAAATCTGCTCGGCTGTCCCCTGAGGTTTAAATTGTACAGTCCCAGAAGTTTTTGTAAAACCCTACAGTTTTGATGCACGTGGACACAAGACAATTACATTTTATTTTATTCCCGATTTCTCCCCAGGTATTTGTGGCAATATCACCATCCCCTAAACATAAAAAGTTTGTACTGACTGAGCACCAGAAGGAAGTCTTGCGTAGCCGTAAAGTGGTCCCCACTATGTATAATGATTTAGATGCATCTTTGGATACAAGTTACATGGCTGAACTGTTGGCCAGTCAGACCCAAGAGTAAGTTTATCTTTTTTAGCTCCGCTGTCGACACAGTGGAGCTGTTCCTATTACTGATTGTCCGTCGTCGTCTACTTTACAATTTCAACTTCTTCTTCGAAACCGCAAGTCAGAATGTTTTCAAATTTGATATACAAGTACCTTCATGGTTCTTTCTCAGATTTGTTCATTTCATTTCAAATTCTCTATTTTTGGTGAATATTTTTGCCATTTTTGGTAAAAAGTGATATTTTCGACTTCTAGGTAAAAATCGCAAGTCCCATTGCTTTGATATTACATATATAGGTCAGTGTTCTCCCCAGGAATTTAAACCACTGTGGCGGCCTAATTTGCATATCATTTACATAATAATAGAAATTGACCAAAGCACATTTACACCCACACAATAAACAACATATATTTTCAAAAACAAAGTGGCAGATATTTATTTGCTTTACACAGTATTATAAACACTTTTATTTTGGTCATTTTTGGCTCATCCGGCCTTAAGGCCTGATGAGCCTATGCCATGGCGAGGCGTCTGTCGTCCAAAAATTACAAAATCCATTTATAAGGATGCCATTGACTGATTCTAGGTTAGCTATTTGTGATATATCTGTATGTTTTTAAGAGAATAAAGTTCATTTAGGCAGTCAATGGGTGCATTCTTTCTTTCTTGATACATTGATTTAAAACCTTCCCCACACGTTTTCCAATGGAATTACCCAGAATGCTTAGCGTAATCAGCAGCGCTTTACTTGTGCACATGCGCAGTTAATATTTCTTCCACAATGCATTCGTTATCACGAAATTTAAAATAGTGGA